AGTTTCTTCATGTCGTAAAGAGCGCTTATTTCCGTATGATGTACTTTTATATCACTGACAAGTAAACGGTATATATTGTGCAAATCGGGTAGTACGCTAAATATGCTACACATAACCGTCAAAATAATACCTTAAAAATATCACAAATATATTGTTAAACATAGATGTAACAAAACGAAAATTTAATAAACCATTATATTACTAATTAGGTGGTGTTAATAAGATAATTTTAGCGAGAAAATCTGTATTTCGTGTTAATTAAATTAACAAAGCCCGGATACTTAATGGAGGGCTATATCGCATACAGAGTTTTCTATTTATATGGTTCTGGATCTCCTTAGTCTTTATCTCTGCCAACCCATAACTGAGTAGTTCAAATAAAATGTAGTGGAAACATTTCTTAAGGTCTATACAGAAAGGTTCATTTTAACTTGAGGTGCTTCACACATTATTAATTCGGTTTTTTAAGATCTTTCATATATAGTCTGCATTAACAAAGTATAAGTGACTCAACTAGAAAAAGAAAGCTTCGCGTAATAAACTGGCCAATTTGATATCTTAAAAAAAATATAGTGATTAAGAACAGATTCTTTTGTTACTGAACACCGCATTTAATTATTCAGAAAAGCAGTATAATGGCGATAAGTTTTCGCCAACTCACCGACATACAACCTCTCTAAATACTTACTTTCGGTACTACAACCACTACAAAAGGACACTCAAAATATTGTAAGAAATACATATGATTTCAAATCCCAAATAGAACACCGAGAAATTGACAAAGAAGACATTATGGTAAGCTATGATATCATTTCCAGTCTACTAGAATCAGATACAACGCTATCCCAGAGATGTCCACTGGACACCAGTCAAATAATTAAGAGCTTAAAATTCTGTCTAGAAAATAAATATTTTACACTTAAAGGGAGTTTATATAGACAGACAAATGGTGTTGCTATGGGTTCACCAGTCTCCCCAATAGTCGCTGACCTTTTCATGAATACATTCGAAAATAACATCTTTTCAAGCATCCTCACTCCTAAAATACGGTTAAGATATGTAGATGAAACTTTTGTAGTGCTAAAACGAGATCTACACAGTTCATTTCTGGAGAAAATAAACGGTGTATCTCCCGGAATCTAGTTTACTTCGGAAGCAGAATCAGGCGTCGGTGAACTAACATTTCTAGACTGCCTAGTTAAGAGGAGGGAAAATGGACATTTTAGTATTTCCATATTCAGGAAGAAAACCCACTCCAATAAATATTTAGACTTCAAATCATCACACCCCAACAGCGCAAAGATTTCAGTTGTTTCAAGTTTTCTGAGACAAGCACACTCTCTGATAACGGATGAGAAAGAAAAAGAAGAAGAAATATCAAACATTACTGAAACTCTCAAGGAAAACAACTACCCATGGAACTTCATCAACAAAATCAACACAAACATTAAGTATGGCCGAAAACGCATTCCGAAAATATGCACCTCAACAGTCGTCATTCCATATAGAGCAGGGACGTCAGGCGGTATCAGCAGAGTACTCAATCAGCTCAACATTAGAGTTTTCTTCAAAACATCAGACACACTTCAAAGCAACCTTGTCCATATAAAAGACCAAATCCCTAAAGATTCTCTATCTAATTGTGTCTATGAAATAAAATGCTTGGAATGTGATGCGATATACATCGGACAAACATCTCCAGAAATCAAAATCAGAAGAAATGAACACCGTAGAGCATCTGTTCGACCACCGAGAAATCTGGTTGAAATCATCAGCCACAGGTCTACACCCTATAGAATCAGGCCACAAAATTGATTTTGAGAATATTGAAATAATCCAGAAAAAACTTCAGAAATCACTAAGAACCTCTGATATCAGAAGCACTTCATAACAAGTGTAATCCAAATTGTCTGAACAGGAATGATGAACTAAAACAGAATCTGACCTGGTTACAACACCTCCCTCCCCCATGAAGTGACAAAATCCACACGAATGTTATAAGCAAGTTCACACACTGTTTTTATAATTTTACACACTGATCAAATCCAACAATATACACTTGGCTTTGTTATCTTCACCAATTGGCCAACTTGACAATGAAAAATGCCTCCAGACTGACGAACGATGATCAAGTTAGTAAACTTTGTTTTGATATCATAACAGATGTACTATTACTTTGTTATTTGATTTAGTGATCTTCCTTGTTATTTTGACTTTCAATATGTCCTTTTAACTTGACCTATGTCTATTTTCTCACCTCCTAACTCTTTGTTATATATATGCTGAGATTTTGCGAATTCCGGTTTGAAAATACTTTGATAAAGCTAAAAGCATTCAATACCGAAACGTCAGTAAACACAATATCGTTTTGTTTTTCATTGATTGGGAAATACAAAAACCTTCATTATAATATATATTTATATTTATTTATATTTATTTTAATCACTTGAAAGTTCATTTTAGTAATTATACATCGTAACTTTTTGAATAATTTCTACTAATTTAATAGGAAATACACTAGCATTGATTAAGTTAGCTGTCACTTTTTGAATTTTTAAGTGGTTGTGACTCAAACTAAGGATGAGCTGGTTAGTTTCGCCAGATTCATGAGTATGCATCATTTCAAGTGCTTCCATGTAGGCGGTTATATTGTGCTTAACCAACATGTGATAGAACACCTTCCAAAGTTTATGGATGAAAAACAAGTAAAAACTATCCACAATTCTGTTTTGTTTCTTACAGGAAATAGCAGCCACTCACTGGACAAAAGCTAAAATGTCCAATGTGATTAGTTACTCTTTGCTTCTAACGGTTTTCCAGTTCACCTACTACATATTGCTGAGACTACTGCCAATCAATCTATTAATTTCAAACTGTATATTAGGAAAAAGTTTGAACAGTCATTATCCTTCTTTCGACCGTGGACGATCCCAGTCCGCATAATATAAACTTCCCTTACCATTTTTTCTCTGTTCTCCTTTATTCTTATTGCGCAATAATAAAAACTCGGTTTATCTACTATCTTTATAGTTTGTTTTGGCATTAGTTCGTTACTTGATTGTGTAAACCAAGTCTGTTTGAACATTTGTTTGTTTATTTACAACGTTATCAACTCTTATTATTATCACAAATTGCTGCATTGCTCTTCATTATTATCAATAGAACTATTATTATGATTTGATACTAGTAACTAGTGTGACGTGTCTAGTCCTCTCTTTGGTGCAGACTGAATTCTATCAGTCAGGTTGTAATGTGGCCACCATTCTAGGTAGCTCGCCATCATGGTGCACATTGATTTGATGATATTAGACTGTTGGAGGCAATGGGCAGGAAGCCTTGGACCTAGGTTTCGTGCTAGTTGGCACTCGTCAGCAAGGTGTATCCGCAATCTTGAAGGAACTCATGTCCCATCTGAGATTCAAACCCACTTCACCCAGTGCTGCAGTCAGACACGTGACCACTGAGGTATTGGGGCTCGCGATTGACCTCCTGTAGGACTGTAATGGATATTTTGATTTGTCACTAGTAACTAGTGTGGTGTGTCTAGTCCTCTCTTTGGTGCAGACGTGCCTAGCTTTACTACTGTTTTTTTAGAATTTTTGCTGAAGTAATTTGTTAAACGGTTTCATAACATAATTCAATTATTCTAGATACCTTAATCGCGTTTTACCTTGACAGCAAATAAATTAAACTTTAAAAAATCTTTTAATTCAACTGATTTAGCCATTTCTGATGGTGTTTTTTTTATCAGACTATATCTATCACGTAAAGACATTCAACAGTAGTTCTGGTAGACATTGGAAAATCTAGAAACTCAACTCTCATACCAATAGAAAAGGTGTTTGTTTTATGCAAACCTAATCCTTTTTCTTATACCATTCAATGAAAATTCTTGTTTTGGGAATTTTTATTTGAACTTGTTGTGTTCTTTAAGCCACAAGGCTTAATTACGAGGCTTTCGTTGTCTTTTTACGCAACAGTGCAAATGGCATTGGAATTATATACATATATATATATATAATGCAGAAAGAAAACTAAGCCATCTATTTAAGAGATAGTAATAATACTAAAACCATCTACCTGAGACAATTTCAACACTAGTAATCTAATACCCTGGAATAAGAACACCAAAACTGTTTTTCACTCATCTCATATAGTGATTTTAAAGCATAAATTTAAAATAAACTAAGAACACCAGTTGATATGATAGATAATACGTCTGAACTCATGTGGTGTTGTTTTTCTACTTCGCTTGCATAAAAAATTTAAATCTATCTGAATACATGGGAAGCTTTATTTGCCTGTTCAGTATTTTTCTGCTCTGCGCCTAACTCAACCTCGAATGAATATTTTTTTATAACGTTGACTTATTCCCTTTAAGTGAAAGGTATTTAATTATTTGCAGACAATGAAGAAATGTAGTGCACTATCAGGGGTTAATGTTAGCAATCCAGAAGTAGCCATCTTATATCTAGTGAAGTCAGAAAATTTGAGATCATGTGAATCTCTTAAGAATAGCTTGGAAATTTAACAATATATATTCAATGATAGTTGGGTTTTTTTTCCTTCACGTTCCCCAGTGGAACATAGAGCTTCAAGCTAGTGGCTTGAAGTTTCTGAAGCAATGTTTATTTCACAGGATAGGGTTGCTGGCCTCATGCCCAACCTTTCCTCTTTACCAGCATTATTTCTGGCTCAGCGAGGTAAAGGAGTGCGCCGGCCGGGGATCGAACCCCGGACCATGTGCACGGTCGGCGAGCGTCCCAACCGCTATGCCACCGACGCACAATAGTTGGGTTTTGCGTAATAAATTTTTTTTGCTTGTAAATAAATAATATTTCAAGGAGGTCTATTGCTTCGAAATCTTCTTGCATATTATTCTAAATGTGACTACAACTAGCCTGGCAAAAAGCAACCATGGTAAAACTATATTTGTTTTTAGTTGTACATAAACATACAACTGTCTAACTAGTGGTGATTATGACTGATAGGTTGTAACACTGTGTTAAAATAACTTACTGCAGCTTTATAACTAAAGAGATGATTCTCGATAAATACTTGTATTTTCTTTTCAAATAAAATTTGGCCTTCGAAATAAAATACTCAACACAACCGGGTTTATTGCATTAGCACAGACAAGAGTTTGTTTATTGACCGAGATTCTGAAGTAGACAATTATCAACAAAATAACACTTAGAAATTATCACTCTGGCGTACAGAAATTGAATAACTTTCATAGCTTCATTTCTTTTCCATTGATTTGATGAAAGCTTCATTATTCGACAGCCTTGTATCTATATGGTCACATCTTTTTAATATGAAAATCTTCAAGTGATTTCGAAGAATTACTGAAGCATATTTTTTTCACCCCCATTAGGTCTGTCAGTGTGAGAATGCAAACTGAATGATATTAGTTAAATTATGCTTCATTCTCAACAAAATTGTTACACTTTAAATATTCACGTTGCCTTTTCTCAGCATCATACGTACTGATACCTTCATCTACAATTGTCTTTTGTTTAATATTATTTCTAGTATTTGTTCCATTTTCTTCTCTTATTTTCTGACAAATATTAGTCCATCGAAATAAACGACATAATGTACGATAAACTGTCTGACGGAATGTTGTACAAGATATACAATAACCAAAAAAGTTAATAGCATTGTTTGTAAATATTAACATTACTAAACGAAATTTAATCTGATCATGTTTATATTTTGGCATATCATCAAAATAATTGAAATAGGATGAAAGAAAAGTAAATATTGTGCCTGGTAATGTACATATCACATGAATGACAGTTAAAACTGTTAACATCTTGATAACACCTTCTGGTCTTCTTGTGGAACGTTTAGGTCGAACATCTTTTACATCAGACTGATGTGTTGAATTTGTATGAACGAAGGAAATTCTGTTTAGTTTATGTTGTTCAGTACTTTGATTTGGTATTTTAGAATTATTGTTCTCAATTATATTGTTATTATAATTTGCTGATGATACAGTGTTTGCATGACAACGCATTACACGACGTTGTTTACGTAATTTTAAATAGATAATTACATTACATGAAAATAATATCAAATATGGAAGGACAGCAAAGCTAATAAAGTCAAATTTCATGAAAATCTTAAACAGTGCTTCATAATCTGAAACAAATGCACATTTAAATGAATCATTCCTTAAAGAATTTTGAGTATCTGTTTCATTTAGGAATTGATTTGTTGTAGTAGTGTTATCTTTATTCACAAAAGGTTGTGGTGATTTATTTTCACCTATCATCCAGAAGTGTAATGAATTCTTAACAATTATACTCATTGCAAAGCATGTCATTCCTACAATAACAGATCTCACTGTAACCAAATCAGTTGCTCTATGTGGTAGGGTAACAACAAGTAGGCGTTCAACTGCAATAGCACATAGAACACCGACAGCGAAATCTGTTGAAAATCCTACAGCAAAAATATGAATTTTACAAACATAGGGACCACTTGTACGCAAATCCCATCCATAAATTTCCATTAACCAATAACGTAATACAGCTGTCAATAGTACAAAATTATCAGCGATAGCTAGAATGATAATTATTAAACGTGTAGTCAAACGATTTGTACTATCTCCACCCATTATAATTGCACTGATTATATTGCCAGGTATACCGAATAATAATAACAAACTTGCATAGATTTTTATCACTAATTTTCCTATACCAGCAGTATAATTGGATTCCATTTGTAAATATATCCTTATTTGAACGTAAATGACAGTATGTATATACATATATGAAAATATTAACGAAATTCTTATGACATCATTTTAAACATCAATTAAATAAAACAAGAAGTGATCATTTAGTAGAAGGTATCAACATTTTTAGTGTTCACAGTGATTTGAAGTATACTGATGTATTGCTGGGTATATGCAGTAAGCATTAGTCACTTCATTTTATGCTACCTCATCAACCAATAGGAAATGTGTGTGTGTATGTATGACGAAATCCTGCTAAACAGAATGAACTGTCATCCAATCAGAGGATGAACAGAAATAAGTAAATCTATCCAGTTTGTAACAACAGTAACTAATTGTTTACATTCTTCTCATTACTTTCCATCCTATTAAAGTCACTATCATCCTATCTTTACAACTGACTAAACAAACGCTGGAGATGATCTTGATCAGCCGTAATTTTACAATTTTGATGCATAGACTGTAGAAAATAGGAAAGTGGAAAATATCTAGTGAAAATGTTAGAGTTTAAATTTATCGGTTCCCTTAGTGGTTGAAAAGACAACTTACACACATACACACACATGTCATCATAAGAACTGTTGTAAGCTGAGGACATGTTTGAGTAGATTTTAACAAGAATGGGACATTAATAAATCACGCGTGACAAAGTGCGTAAATTTTGCTTCAAAGTAAACTTTTACGCAAAAAGTATGACAAGTGAATGGAAAGTCGCAATTGACATTATGAGAATACACTCTTGCCTTACAGATTAGAAGTGGTGAAGTAATCATTTTAAAAAAAATACATTTCCTAACTGATTAGAAATAATATAAATTGTTAGTAGAATCAAAGTGGGAAAACTGAATGCAGGGGAACATATCACACATGGGTGTATCACGCGAGGAGAGAAACGTGATGTGTTTCCAAATGCACACTGTATTTCCTAAAAACAATATTTGAAAAGATGACTTAAAAGATCATAAATTTGATCGCAAAGACCAAAAGATAAACAGATGTTCAGACGTCTTTTCGTATCAGATAAATTATAGCATATTTTCATTCATTTTATTCGGCAGCATAGTGTTAGTGAAGCCAAGTGAAAGCCGACTGATTAAACATCCTGATGTGAAAATCTTGTGAACTTTTCTCCTCTAAAAATGCCGAATCATAGTAAAAGGAATTCAAAAGAATTCCAGAAATAAGCCACCAAAAATCTCTACATATATCATAGTAAATTTCAAAAGAATACAGACAAATATTCTATTTTCTTGATAGCTAGTATATTCATATCTGTCTCTGTGATATAACGTTTTTAAAATTACATATGTATAGGCTAACTCTCGATAACTCTGCGGCATTTACGCACTAATCTAGATGGGTTAAATATTACTGGTGGATTGAGTTAGTAGCTCGATACTACGGGCATCAATCTGTAGTTCATATGAGTCTGACGAAATTGATTTAAACACAGGATAACAGTTTCCCTCGTCTAAGGCCTAGCTCCACCGGTAGTTTACCTGATTTTAAATCAGCACAGACAGCCGAATCGTTTTAAACCAGTGGGATAATGGCTAGCTACTTAAGTGAACTGATAGTGCATTGGGTCAAATTTGCAATTTGGAAATTAATTCCCAACTTTAAAACTTACAGAGTTCGAGCATAAATATATCATGCTTTATGCTACTGGTCAATTGATTGGTTTCTTGATTGACATTTGTGGTATTGAGCAGCTCACATATTGTGATTTGAATAATTTCTGTTTCCGAAACAAACTTTGGAAAATTTCACCACTACCTGTATAAGTCACGAATTAATTCGAAAATTCTGAATTTAAATAAATGAGCGCCTTGTTTTTTATTTTCTTAAAACCATACGCAGACTTAATAGGATTTTGACTTGCTGACAATTTATCCAACATAAATCAGCACTTTTGGTATTTAGTCAAAAGAATAGTAGGTAATATTAAAAATTGAGAATATATTAAAATTAAGCATTCATCTTACACACAAATTTACAAGTTGTATGTGTCAATAAATTTTAATAAACAAAACTTACCTTTGAACTAAGAAGGAAAATACTTAAGATGTACAACCATTAGTACTCACTTAACTTGGTAGGTAGCTATGCGACCTTAAGTATTAGGCTAATTAAATAACCATAGGCATGTTATCAAATAAATTTCTAGCGGAATTTTCTTTATTCAGTTAAACTTGATAAACTTGATGTTGAAAAGCAACGGTTACCCTCAAAGGTTCATAAACAAGTAGGGAAGATATGAAGTCGCAAATGTCAAGCAAATCACAGTGGAGAAAAAGCCCATCTATATTCGAATTGATTGTAAAGGTGAAAATTTCGCAGCATTTGTCAACAGAAGATTGAGGAAGTCACTAGGCAGAGCCTATCCTGCAGCTAAGCTCGTTCCCGCCTATCAAACAACTTGCTCTTTGGTGCAATCAAAAATTGATAGATATCATTCCCATGTTAACTCCAACTGCTTGTACAAATTTACATGCATCTGTGGGAGCAGTTACATTGGAACAACAGAAAGAAGGGCATACCTATGATTTTCTGAACATGTGCCAAAAAGCCTATATCTCAAGAGAACAAATACTTTAAACAGTGTCATCGGGAGTCATCTCCTTGACATGGATCGTGAGGTGGACGCCGCAAGATCGTTCAGAATTATCAACAGACAAAAGAGTTTAATTCTCCTCAAATTTGCCGAAGTGATCTCCATCAAGCGCCTGAGACCTGATTTATGCGTTCAGAAAGGAGCAGTTGTCAGTCTTTCTTTGTCCTGGTAACTGGATATTTTCACCTCTTTCATCTGATTACGTAATGTTGAAAGTTTCCATTGTGTATGATTGTTATTGTTTGGAATAGTGTTTAATATTACACACATATATAAATACTGTATGCATATATTGATTGGGGAATGCAGGTACATCCAAGTTACGAGTCCTAGGTAGGACGAAGTGCGCATGCTGGATTCCACTGCTAGTCACCAACCACCAGTTAAATATATTGATTGACTGATTTCTGTTTAAAAATGAACTTTGTGCAAGTATATTAAGATTGTTTCTGTAGATATTATTTAACAATGACTTTGGCCTGTAAGCAGCTGATGAGAAGCCGATGAAATAAATGATGGTACCATTTTATTTTGTAAAAAATGTTGTTCTTGCTTTATTTAAACTTGGTAAAATATACCGTTACTTTATATAAGATGCTTAACTGTTTGAATGTTAAGATATTCAATATCTTATTAATTATGTGGATAACTGTTATATACTGTTTGGATCACTGGATAATGTAGATTGTTTTGGTTCCATTCAAGGAGAAGTTCAACAATAGCGTCCCAGAAGTGCGAACGCTTCAGTGACCTTGAACGCATGCTAGTCACTGACTAACAGCACCTGTCATTGTCATAGCTGAAATATCAACTCTATTCACCCACTAAGGAGCTAATTTCACCCAGATCACGTTTTTAAGTACTCTCTGGACATTGTGCTGATAGCTCATTAGAGTTAGGATTAGAGTTAAGGTAAGTATTGGGGTTAGGGTTAGGGTCAGGATTAAGGTTAGGATTACGATTAGGGATAGATTTAGAGTTGATGTCATTTAATCTAATTTGTTTTATTATTCACATTCTCTGGTGAGTAGTCACCGATTCTTTTACTGGAAACCGTATTAATTTAACCGAGTGCTTTTGGAGAAGACCGCACAACAGGATAAGAAAGATAAACGATTCACAGAAACAACTCATCTTTATTCATCTTGGTGAATACATGTATGGAAATTAGTCTAACTTAGCAACTGATACTCCTCAATATTATTGGGACGTATTTTTAAGTCATGTCAGATAAAGATACCCTGTTTAATGTGTTCTCATGCATTTTCTTGTAAATGTACGTCATTATTTTGTGCAAAAATCCTAATTTTTATAACTGGTCAGCTGAAGGTCAGTCGTCCGCTCCCATCCCTCGGGAAGCTGTTGCTGAACTTTGCCCTATTCAAAATCAATATGACCTTAAAAAAATATGGTATTCTAACTTCGATTCCCTAGTTGAAATATATAAACAGTCTGCTGTGCAACGTAACCATTCAAATACTGTATTTTGTTATTCATGATGCAAATACAGTTCAATAAACAGAAGTAAATTTTAAGTGATGCAAATAGGTAATTTAAAAGTGTGTTAGAAATCTATGTATTAAGTCAAAATAACATCCCAATTCAATGCTAAAAAATAATTTAACCCTGTTTAGTTCACCATATAATAAAATGGTTTACTATTACTTTTACCTATTTATTAGGAAATGTGTATAACACTGTAAGAATGAAATTTATTTCCTTTATTGTCTGTGACAGTTGTACAATGGTCGTCAATCAAGTAGAAATCAACTAAAAACTACTGGACAACCCACACAAATCACGTGCAGCTGATGCATAACATTTCCCGCATTATAAATGTTATTCGCCTAAATGTTTCATATTATCAGATAAGTGATTCCAAAACATAACCTGTTGTAACGACTGACTGGTTGTGGTCTAAGCTCAGAATACCTATCTCTGCATTTTACTGTATAGCTGACAAAACTTCCTTAAGAGACACAGTCATAAAACGCGACAAAGACAGCAGAAGACGGCTATTTTATGGCTAGATCTATGTTGTTCCATTTAATAATAATAACACCAGAAATCAAAATTATCTCAACACTGCCATGAGGCAGCTATTCAGACAAGGCGAGTTTCTGAGTAAAAAGCAAAAGCTGAAGAACACAGTTACTTAACCAGAATTCAGTTGTAACAAGTACCTTGAAATCAGAGAGAATATTCCCAACAAGACAGAATCAGAAGTTCTGTCCACAAGGATCAAACACTAACGCTTCCTGGAGGTAGTCCAAGGTCAGAATAGGGGCAGTGACAAATGATAAGGACCAGATCAACAGTTGACATGCAGATATCAGAACAATGATATAGAACCTAAAAGAAAAACAGATAGTAATTACAAAGTTAGTTGAAACATCCAAATTGGTACCAATACTGTGATCAGATCGTTCAGGAACCATTTTCCAAACAATTATTCCGTTACACCTGTCACACATATATGACGCTCGTTTCCTTCAAGATACGCAAAATTTATACAGCAATAATAATATTGTATATATATGTATATATATGCCCAATTTTAGAAACATTC